ATATATATATATATATATATCTCCTAAACTCTTGCATCTCGCACAATTACATGTTAAAGAACAACGTTAAATACCTTCCTTTTAAAGAAATTAAAAAAAAATTTGTTTGCTTTTATATAAAAAATCAGATCGTTTGTTTTTCTAAGTTGTTAAACATTTATTACACAAGGTATGTCATTAAACAAAAATAAGGTTGTATTTGTAAAGTTTCTAAATTATATATTTTTCTTGATTTATATATTTTTATATAGATTAGTTTACATTTATGTGTCATTTATGTTTATCTGTTTTGGTTATATGGGTTTATATTTTGTAAGTGTGTAAATATCATTTATGTGTTTGTAAATATCTTTTCAAATTGTTGTGACTTGGCTTAGTTTACAGCAAGAGTGTTGATTTTGCAAGCCAAGTGGTGTACTTTTCTATAATGTGACTTGGCTTTGTTGGGAGCAAGATTGTAGATTTATATTGTGTGTCCACGCCAGTTAAGTGGTGTACTGTTATGATAAAATACATAAATTAAATCTGTTTGTAGTTAGTGTAGTCATAAAAAGTGTTAAAAAAAAATCGTTGAAAGAATGTGCTTATAAAAAATGTTGAAAGATATATAGTTTTTTAATATCTATAATAATTTTTTTAATATTTATAATTTTAAGTATTTTTTATTGAACAGATATTATACTTCATTAAATAATTTTTATACTGTTACTATTTAAGTAAATTTGTTTAATATATATATATATATATATATATATATATATATATATATATATATATATATATATATATATATATATATATATATATATATATATTTATATTATTGTATATATATGACATATATACAATAAAATATATAAAATTAAAGTGTCTATACATATATTATATGTATAGAATATATATTATTGACTTTTTTTCTTTAGAATATTAGATATGTAAAAAAAAATTAAAATAGTTAAACAAGTTTCAATATTTCCAAGTTTCTTCACTTAAAGCAAATATATGATTGTTTATAGAGGGTTTTTATTTATTAGTTTTGTATTTACTTATTTATTGCAAATCTTGCATTAAATGCGTTTCAAAGTAATAAAAGGGTTTTAATGATGAATGATTACATTTTATCCTTATAGTTTAGCAGTACTTGCTGTGCAGACAGGCCTTATTGTTTTTTAATTTGCTTTATTTATGAGTTCTTAAATGTAAAAAATTTATTTTTTAAATAAACTTTACTTATGTTTTTTTGATTAAATACTAATAATGTTTTTTCAATAATTAATAACAACTAACTATATGTAACAATACTCAGTTTAAAAGATTATATCAATTTATTTACAACTTTAGTTTTATGTTATCTTAACACATTGCTATATATGATAGAATATAAAAGATTATTATATTATGCTAGATTAGTTTAAAAAGGCAAACTCAACTTTTTATTATATTAAGCATCATTTTTACACACCTTTGATGCATGATTATGTCTGATAATTTAAGAAATGAAATTATTAGACTTTTTCAAAATGAAAGAAGACAGGCTAGACGAGCTGAGATAAACTGCCATCGAAATGAAAGAGATGAGCCCAGGTGAGCTGGATAAACCGCCATTGGAATAAAAAAGGTGAGTCCAGGCGAGCTGAAATAAATTGTAATCTAAATGAAATAAATCAGGCTAGGCAAGAACTCAATTGGTGTAATATGCATTGCATAGCAAAAAATAATATTTCTACAGAGACTAATTACTTAGGAGAATTCAACCGTAATTGTCAGAATTGTAGTGCAAAGAAACTATTATAACTGAAACTCATTTTTTGTGCTGCCATTCAGGAAAAGTTGTATTAGCTTCTCTTTCTCTATATCCACCATTGTTGACTAATTCAATGACAGAAAACCATGTTGATCATGCTGTAAATCAAAATTTTTTTAAACACAAAAGGAGTTTTAGTTCCTCTTTATCTTTTGCTTTCTTAACTGCCAAATTAGCTCCTCCCTCAAATACTGGTCCTTTCTGTTTTAGGGTCTGTGGGCAAATTTTGCATCATGTTGGAAATTTGAGGCCTGCAGAAGGCAATTTGCTCAAATATTGTCAGTTATATATTTATAATCCTAATGCAGATGGGTCATTCAGAATGGAGCAACCTGATAATAATGGTTGTATACGCGAGTTAATGCAACTTTTGCAAACATTAATTAATCAAGAAAACCTATTGCTCATGCATTTAAAAACATGGCAGAAGTAGAGGATGAAGAAATCCGCCGAGAAGCTTTAGAAGGTAGACCAACTTCTGTTGTGAGATTGTCTTTGCTTGAAGATCATGATAGACGTCAATACAATCTTTCTTCCCATGAGGAGGTCGCTATTGTGTTTGTGGGAGATGATGGTGCTCCATCTGCATCAAGGGAAGTTGTTATATACCCTCGAGGTCAGCCTTTAAAAACAACTTTGTCTCTGTCTGCAAATTTAGATCTTATGGTATATCCAGTATTTCTCCCGAAAGGTGATGCTGGAAGGCACATTCAACTGGAGCGCAACCCGTGTTAGAAACCATGTTACTTTGTCTCAGTATTATAATTATAGGCTTGCGGTTAGACAAACCTTTAGTCCTATATTCTATGGTAAGAAACTTTTTCAGCAATACGTTGTTGATGCATATGTCAATGTTGAGGGACAGCACATTGTTTTTATTAGAAATAACCAAAACAAACTTAGAAGTGAACAATATGATGCATTGCATGAACATGTAATTAATCGTGCTAATGATCTTAATGTAATTAAGATCATTAGCACGATTAATTACATGTTCATGCAATGCATCATATTATAACCACGATGTTATGTTGGTAGTCCAAGAGCACTAAAAGAAATCTTTGAAGATGCGATGGCAGTCATAAAGAAATATAGTAAACCAGACCTATTCATTACTTTTACCTGCAATACAAAATGAAGAGAAATAGTAGAAAATTTGAACCTGGCCAAACTGCTAATGACAGACCTGATTAAGTTTGTAGGGTATTTAAAATGAAACTTAAATTTTTCTTAGAAGATATTTTCAAGCATGGAGTCTTAGGCAAAGTTGTAATTCATGTGCAGGTATTGAGTTTCAAAAGCGTGGTTTGCCACACGTACATATTTTATTTTACTTTGTAAATGCAGATAAGCTAGAAACAGCAGAAGATATTGACAGTTTAATATCAGCAGAAATTCCAGAATCAGCTGTTGATCTTGAACTTCATGAAATTATAAAATCATGCATGATTCATGGACCTTGTGGAATTTTAAATCCCTATTCTCCCTGCATGTAAGATGGAAAATTCACCAAAAAATTTCCTAAAGAATTTAATCTCCATACTGTTGCAATTTTTAATGGTTGTCCCGCTATAGACGTCGATAACGGAAGAATTGTCAATATAAAAGGTACTCAAGTTGATAACCATTGGGTTGTACTTTATAACCCATGGCTTTCTAAAAAATATTAGGCGCACATAAATGTTGAGGCCTGCATGACCATAAAGTCAGTTGAGTATTTATATAAGTACATTTACAAAGGGCATGGCTGTGCCAATGTGGTGTTAAATGAACAAGTTAACCATGATGAAATAAACACGTTTTTAAAAGTTTGCTATGTCTCAGCTCCAGAAGTATTGTGGCAAATATTTGAGTATTCTTTAAATGATATGTCACATAACATCATTCGACTTCAGGTTCATCTAACAGATAATCAAATGATATATTTTGTTGAAGGTGAAGAACAGGCATTTTTAGACCGTGCAGCACAGCGTGACACTCATCTAACTGCATGGCTTAAATTTAATGATGAAAATGAATAAGCTCGACAATATTATAATATATCGACAATATGTTGAAATTCCTTACAACTTTGTTTTTGGTAGCAAACATTGTAAATGGAACGTTAGGCAAAGAGGTAGTAATAAGGTGATTGTTCGGATGTATAAAGTTTAATAGGTGAAGTATTGTATCTTAGAATGTTACTTTTGCATGTTAGAGGTGCAGTTTCTTTTGAAGATTTGCATACTGTTAATGGTACAATTTTTAATACATTTCGTGAAGCATGTTTTCAATTAGGTCTGTTAAAAGACGACGCTGAATAGAGAAATACGTTAACTGAGGCTGTTGTAACTCGGTTGCCTAATCAAATTAGACAATTGTTTTCCATTATTTTGACCTTCTGTGAACTTGATGATCCTTTACATTTTTGGAATGCCTTTAAAGATTTTATGACGGAGGATTACATTCATCATTCCATGCCACCAATAGTTGCTGAGCAGGCATCCTTGTGTCAAATTGAATCTATAATTAATCAGAATGGTAAAACTTTAGCCGATTTTAATCTTCCTACTTTAGATGAGTTTTTAGATTATGTCCCACAAAATGAAAAGGAAGATGTTCAGGTTTTAATTGACAAAGCAATTAGAGTTAGACCATTGTTAAATGATATTCAGCGTCAAATTGATGATGCTATCTTTTCTGCTTCAAGTGAGCAACCTAATGATGAAAACGAACATTCTAGATTATTTTTTATGGATGGCCCGGCAAGTTGTGGTAAAACATTTACATACAATTATATAATCGCTGAAACCAGAAGTAGACATTTTGTAACTGCAACAGCTGCATGGACAGGTATAGCTGCAACTCTTTTAAAAAAAGGATGTACACTTCATAGTTTAATCAAACTTCCTGTGCCGATTTTGGAAAATAGCACATGTAATGTAACTCCGAGTTCTATGCACGGACAATACTCAAAGCAAGCTAGCTTGTATATACTAGATGAAGCATCTATGATACTCAAACACGCTTTAAATGCCATTGATAAGTTACTTCAAGATGATTGCAATAACAGGTTTCCTTACAATAGTAAAGTTATTCTTATAGGTGGAGACTTTAGGCAAATACTTCCAGTTGTAAAAAAAGGGCAACAAGCAGATATTGTTGAAGCCTGTATAAAATGTTCTCACCATTGGCAATATGTTCAGTGATTTTCATTAACAGAAAATATGAGGGTTCGAGCCGAAGTAGAGGAATTCTCTCAACGGCTTTTAAAACTTGGTAGTGGAACATTACCTTTAAAAGCAGATGGTTCCTTTCGCGGGTGCATTGAAATTCCTGAGCAGTGCTTGCTTGAAGCAAATAAATCTATAGTAGACGAGATTTTTGGAGTTGCAGAAAAAGATGATTATGCAAAACGTGCCATAAATAATAGTCAAGGTCAAACATTTGACAAAGTTGCTATTTATCTCAAAAACCCTTGCTTTTTACATGGTCAACTCTTAGTTGCATGTTCAAGAACAAGATCATATAATACCTTAATTTTTAAAATTGATGAACATTCATTACAAGGTATGTCATTTAATAAATGCTACACAAACAATGTTGTATTTACCAATGTACTAAATCTATAATAATTTTTTTACTATTAAACACCTCATTATTTTGATTTATTACATTGACTGACTGTTTTTGTTTCATTTTTCATTTTCTTTTATTTATATCTAGCTGTTTCTTCTTCTGTTTATTTACGCTCATTTGTTCAATAGCTGTTGCATTACAAAAAGCTACTCTAAGAAGAAGAAAAACTAAGAAGAAGAAAAAGCTAAGAAGTTGTAACTCTTACTCTTGCAAACTCGCTAAAAGTATTTTATTATTTCAGTGGTCAGATAATGTAGTTAATCATTATAATGCTGCAATAAAGTAAAAAAAGTAAGAAAAGGAGTCTGAAGACGGTTTTCGCGATATCTTGGAGTAATACAACGTGGCAGTTTATTATTATCTAAAAAATTTACAAATCCCTTTGGGTCACCTTTGACATTTTTAAATTTCATCTTATTTATAGTTAAAACAATTTTGACTGCCATACAATGATTGCCAAATAATCCACATTTTTCCAATTTTAAAGATTTCAAGGCTTCACGGCATGAAATGGCAATTGTATCTAGAGGGTACAAATATTTAGCTCATTCAAATTCTTTCCCCATGTATCGCATATTTTGGTTATGGTTAGATGATTTACTAACACTCTGTCAGACATTTTGCTAGATATATATGAGATTATCAAACTAGGACATTCGTTATAGGGAAGCAAGTGAAAATCTAAATACATTTTTGGCCCAAGATGTGACGATAGTTAAGATATGCCTGACAAGTTAAACTTAAATGCAAAGAAATAATAAACGTTTATATTAGTTAAGATTTGAAAGCATTATGAAACATTTTATATAAACCCTTACAGAAAAAATATAAATCACTACAATATAATTTTAATTAGATAGACTATGCACTGGTATAAATAAATGGTTTTTTAACTTACCAACCAAAGCAGATGTAGATGTAGCTGAAAATAAAATAAAAATTAACAATAAAAGTGATTAACAAAATAAATGGGTTTTTTAAATTTTAATATTTTTAAAACATTTTTTACTACAATCTAAATTATTAATGTAATAATAAAGGCAAAAATCAAATTGTTTATGTGTAAGATCTTAAAGTAATTTTTTTATACTTATTGCTGTATTGTTTCAAATGTTTGATTTATTCAATAATCTTTATTAAATAAATGTAACATTTCAAATGTTCGATTTATTTAATTAAGAAGACGTTTTAAATATCTTCTTTATTAAATATATCAAACATTTGAAATATCACACAGTATAATTATTGAAAAAAAAAAATATTCTTAATATATTCATAATAGTTTAGATTAATAGATATTATAAGATATATTATTAAAGGTATCAATTATTTTATATAAAGTATTAATATCTAATTTTTTTTTTTATTTGTCATTAAAAAAAAAAAGAATACAATGCCGTGTTGTATAAATAAAATGTACGTGACCGGGGCTAAAAGAAGACAATATTTGTTTTATCACTACATCCCGAAATGTCATTAGATATAAAATTTTATTTATGACTACTACAGTGGCATTAAAGTTGTTCGAAGCTTATGTTTTATATTTTAAATGTCTCTTTTGTTTGATTTTTTCTGTGTTTAAAATAATTGATTGAATTATGAGATTAAATCAATAAATAATCATTTAAAACAAATAAAATAAAAAAACTCAATTTAAATCATTATTTTTATTTTCTAATTTAAATGATGATTTAAATTGAAACAACCTTTTATATATTCCATCTTTCGGAGGCAGAGGGACATTATTCTTGGTTTTATTATTTTCTAATATAATATCTCTGGATATTTTTTATATTTAGTTTGCGTACAACAGTTAACAACTTTAAGCTTTTACTTTAACTTTAGTTATAACTAAAGAGTTTGACTTTAGCATTAATTCACATAGATAATGTTACTTTAATATATATTTCTTGAAGATACCTCTCGTTATTTACAATTACAAATTTGGATTGCGCCAAGTTCTCAGCTCGCGGTGAAGAAGGAAGCGTAAGAGAGCGAGACTTGCTACGCGTTCAGTTAAATATACAAAGTGAAGAAGCATACTTGGCTGCTGCGTTAGCGAACTAACGCAATACTGCGGCCGGCACTATTAAATTATCATTAAAATGTTTAATGTTTCTCTCGTTAATAAATATCACTTGAAATAACTGTTCTTAATCAAGCCATGCCTTTTTAGGAGGTAAAGTTTATTTGCAGTTCTACTAAGAATACCTGGTTTGTCGCCAGAGATCACGCATACTTCAGCAGAACGTACTTGGCTACCACTTGAATTAAGTATATTTTGGATAACGCCCATTTTCCAAACTAAACGTGGAACTTTTGGATCGTCTATCAATACAGCATCTCCATTTTTCATATTAAATCCCCAACTTTGGTGTGTCACATTTGTGTGCATTTCTCGTAAGTTTATCAAGTATTTATTTTTCCATATGTGCCAATAATGATCCAAAATCGCTTTTTGGTGTAAATACTTCTGCTTATCATCGCTTTGATCAACAGTTAAAATGTTATTAAAATTCACAGATTCTAAAGGTAATTTTCGTCCAAACACGAGATGATTTGGTGTTAGAGGCTCGTCGCCGGGTACTTCGTACAGAAACGCAATCGGCCGGTTGTTTACAACAACTTCAATTTCAGCCAAAATCGTTAGCATTTCTTCATAATTAACTCTTGATGTTTTTAGAAACTTTTCAAGTACTCTCTTGGTAGTTCGGATCATCCTTTCGAATATCCCTCCCCACCAAGGAGCAGCAGGAACATTAAAACACCATCGTATACGTCTTGAACTTGAGAAGATTTGAGTTTCTTCAGTAGAAAAATTTTAACCATTATCGCTGATAAATTGAAAGGGTGCGCCAAAACGACTTATAAAACGACAAAGACCACGAATCCAGGCTTCCGCTGTACAATCGGGAACCAAATCTAAATAGAGAAAACGTGTACTACAACACGTAGCAACAAATATCCACGCTTTATACATCAATTTAGTTTAATAAATATTCTTAAGCATGATTGGTCCGCAAAGATCTACTCCAACATATTTAAATGCATATTCATCACTAACTCTAGATAGGGGTAGAGGAAGAGAATTAGGATACTTAAAAGGTTTACTGTCAAATCTTTTACAAGTATAACAATTTCTAACTATATTTTTATTTAAATTGCGAGCTTTTGTTAACCAAATTTTAGTTCTAATTCATTAAGTGTTTCTTTAACACCACTATGTTTAGTAAGACAATGATAATGTAAAATAATTAAATTGGTTAAGTAACTTTTATTTGGTAAATATATAGGAAATTTTGAACTAAATGGAATTGGTGCGTTACTAAGACGACCTTAACAACGAATTATATCATCGGCTCTTAAAAAAACTTTAATCTCGTTTTAATTGATTATAAGATTCACTATCATATATATCTTTTAGAATGAATTTAATCCACATGTAATAACTGAATTAATTTCTTGCTAAAATCAAAATTGTTCACAGCATAACGTTCAGCGTGATTAATTAAAGTCGCAGATAATAAGAAAGGAGAAGAAGTTACGCCAAACAAACTCGGCACAATTGATAAACACTTAATTCACTATTTTTTAAATTGTTTAAATCAAATAAGTCTTAATACCATACAAATCTTACTAAGTCTCGATGCTTATCAGCTAATGCGATGTTTTAAAATCCTTTCTCAATGTCAGCAATTAAAGCGATTCGCTTCGCACGAAAACGTAAAAGTATACTATATAATGAAGTTGTTAGAGATGGTCCTGAAAATAAGCACTCATTTAACGAAGGACCGGATGTGCGAGCACTTGTATTAAAAACTATACGCACTCTTGAAGTCAGCTTATCTTCGCGTATTACTGGACGGTGAGGTAAACAGTGAACGTCGCCAATATTACTTTCAAAATGAGAGACTTTTTCAATAATGCTTTTAGATAATTGATCATTAATAATATTATTATAAGACAAAAATAAATCTCTTGCGCTTGCAAATTTTTTCTCTAATGCTAAAAATCTCAACTTACATAAATTATAATTGTCACCTATCAACGGATGATCTATTTTAAATGGCAATTCGACCTCATACATTGTACCATTAAATTATTATTTTACTGTAATTTTGCATAAACAGTCTTATCATACTCACTAATTTTGGAATCATCCCATAATAAATTTAAATCATTCTCAATTAAAATTTTCTCACTATTAAAATTTGACGCGACCTTCAAATCATGACAGGACAAAACAGTTGAATTAACAGTTTGATCTCTATTAACTATCATGGGGCCGCTTATTAAATATGCTAACTTAGATTTAATTGCTACAGGGCCGTTAACTCCCCTGATAATAGAATTTTCCATGAACTTCCAATAAAAATTAGCACCTAATAAGATATCAACTGATAAATTTTCTTATAATAAATTATTATAATCGGCTAATCTAAGACCCTTAAGATGTTTATAACTATTACATGCTATATTAACAAAACATTCAATGTTTATAAAATAACTATAAATACTTTTAATAGAAACTCTGACTTTATCCAAGACCTCAAAAATGCTACCGTACCCA